TTTTTACTTCACTGGGCTCTTGTACATTTCTTGTTTGAATCGATATTTTGTCATTGGGAACTAATTTTGTATCTGACTATTGTCCTCTTTGTGTTTGAACGGCAGATAACCTCACATTTGAAGATTTGTACTATGTTTTTCTGATACATTTCGTTTAATAGAGCAATAATCTTGAAGTTCTTCAGCAATCTCTTATCAGTGTAATTCTATTTAGAATCATTTGGTTTCTTTTGAATTTGGTTGAGTCTATTTGGGACAATTTGGTTTTATTTCGGTTGGTCGAAGACTCCAAGCCTTTATCCTTAAAGGTTACTGATTACTGTTATTAGAATTACTGCAGTCCCATATGAGATCAGCTTTTTATATAACATAGTGATACAGTATTATTCTTAACTGGATCATATCTCGAGCACAATTTACAGCTCATAATCATTTCAGTGCGTTCACACAACTTCCTGTCTTTCTTTATATAGCTTTAACCATTCTGTTTTATATCGTCTTCTATTTACCCATGAGCCATTCTGATTGTATGAGTTAGGAGCTGATTCGATGAACAAAGATTCAGTGATTAACCTCTCTCTCTCTCTCTCTCTGCACCTAATTACATTACTTTGTGATTGCAGTGCAGTGGTTGAGTATTCTTCTAGACTACTTAACTAAATGGGATCAGACACTTTATATCTAGCTCATTTCCTATCTTCCAGTTACCTAACTGAGAGCGAACTACTAGTTTCGCCTCACACTCAGTACGCGGTATTTGGCAAATTATATATTCTCTCCCTGATTACATCTATTAGGTCCTTTAGGCGACAGAGTTTGTCTACGAATGATATGGCTGATTTAAGCGACACCTTAATAAGAACTCTGCATAAGGCTCCTGATGTTCCTTCCTCGCATAGCAGTGCTATCAAGTCTTTAAATTCCGTATTATTTGAACCTTGTTTCATTATTTTCATTACTACTCCAATTTTTCTTATGGGCTTTAACACACTTTTAATAAAATCTGGCGAGTAGTTACTCACTAGTAATGTTTTCTCTATCTGTTTGGTTTCATTATTTAAATCTCCTGACTTACTTATCAGGCTCCTGCCTCGAATACACAAGCATTTAACTAAACCTACCCTTACCAATTTTGAGTGGGGTGATTCAATGTCAAAGGTGCCTATCCGAACGTGATGACTTGGTAAATATATGTTAGTACCTGACTCATCATCCTGCTCAAAAGTGAACTAGATTCTATCTACTCCTGAATTTATATATATGAAGAACTCAGGGTTATGTTCAGGTTTCATCTTAGAGAATGTGTCGTTTGCATATCTTCATCACAACCTAGGAGAACGATGAAAAATTCTAAGAGTTTAACCTCCCAAACTACCCATGATTACATCTTCTCTTACTAGGGATACCGGTGATCTCATTGTCACTCTATTTATATGCTCGTATATTTGATTTTGAATACAGTGGAGGTCGGATATAATTGAATACCAATACCATAGGTCCTTCAGAACTAACAACTAGACAACACAACAAAACTCATACCTCAGTGATCAATCAATAATAATCAAATATACTGCCATCCAGTTTGTGTAATGTGTAAGATGATACCACCAAATTGGTCCGCACCAACTTCAGGCTTGACAATGAAAAGTTGGTATGTGTCGACGGCTGTGAAACTTGAACACTAAAAACAGGATACATGAAATAACTACGGTTCCGACCATGGATGCCGTTAATCACTTATTCACATAAGGTGTAGATTAGGAATGTGAGTTGACCGATAACTCTTCGTTGACTTATAAGGTTATGTACTTCATATGTCTATCCATCGCCCAAAGGTTCTCAAGCTTCTAAGAATCAGTGGATGGATAATATTTGTGGCATGGCTCAAAATCGTACATGATTGCATAGATGCATTGGCCTCTTATTTTCATCTTCCGTCATGGCATCATCCTAATTTTAAACCTACCATTTTGTATGATCTTTTGAAGTCTGACAACTTAATCTGATGCAGTTCTGTGCAAGGACTAACGCTGACTTATCTGTTAGTTGACTATGAAACATTTTTATTCAGTAGCAGAGTGCATCGTAATAGTTCTCACAATCAACTATTCATACTACTACTAATAAAGCTGTATTTCAGACGATTTGTGAACAGCATACAGAACTTTTCAGCGTAATCAGTTCCAAAATATCTCGTCTTCGTAAAGGATTTACATGTAAACTAATAATCTAGAGTATATCACTTGACGTCAGACAGTGGGAAACGAGAAGACAGGGATATCCTGGACTGACGTGAAGAGCCCAGAAGACCTGGATTTCGCGTGTGGATGATTTATGTTTGATGTCACACAAAATCGAACACTTAAAAGCGAAAACCGACAAACTGGTCGAATAAGCAGCAAAGACAGGATTCCAAAGAATATTTCCAACAGGCTATTGCAGACCTTCACCAACAACTGTCTTCGCTGGCTCTATACTGAAGATCAGATGGCCGGGCCAGAAAAAATCACCAACAAGAAACTATGGGAACAAACAAAACAAGGACCAATCGCCAACCAACAAATATGCAGGAGAAAGTGGAGATGAATTGGACACTCGCTCGCTGAGTGACATCGCGCGGGCGTCAGGCCATTGCTTGAGTGGAACCAGGCCGAAAGGGAAGCGGCGAGTGAGACATCAGTGCAAGGGTGACATGGAGGAGATCGTGTGAAGAGGAGTTAAAAGAGTATGAACTAATGTGGATGCAGGTGAAAAGTACAACAGAAGACAGAAGCAAGTGGAGACGTGCAGTTGAAGCACTATGTTCCACTAGGAACGCAAGGGAACAATAATATCATTTGACGCATTGCTGTGGCATGTGAAGAGACAAACAATTCCTTACCATTTTCCTTCATCTCCGTCAGGAATCTCACAGCAGTTTCTGAAAGTTAATGCTAATTAATGTGCGCGAGTTCAGGTAGTGATCATTTGACATAATTGCATGATTAATAAAACATTAAGAAATATAGAAGAGTTTATGCGCTTTGATGCATGGCAATTCTGGTAGCCCAGTGATTTAAGCACGCCCACGTTATTCACCGTGTAATATTACCTGCTTGCTTAAACCTAAAATGATTGAGTGTGGTTCAAAGCCACGATTCATACACCGGAAAGTGCAAGCCTATAGCAATGTGCGTCGGTGGCACAGTGGTTAGGACTCTCGCCGACCATGCACATGGTCTGGGGTTCGAGCCCGCACCGACGCACACCTGATATCTATGGTCGGCCTGCAAAATTTGGGCTACCGATATCCATGCTGAAAATTCCATACTTGTACCGAAAATACAGTGTAGAATCAAGCTGTAAATCAAAAATTAAAAGAACTACAACAAACAAACAAACCGACAACAGTCGTCGTCTCTTGCATTCCTGTTTAGATAATTACATGTTCCTGGTCAGTGAAAACTTCAAACATAAAGATAGACCATCCCAAGTCAACAGTGAACTCAAAAGGATCATATAGCAAGAGGATATCGATAGACAGAACCACTGTAGTAACTTCGAGCAAAATCTAGTCCATGTACGTGTTTGCCTACAACTAGAAGAACATAAAAAAACAGGCACCTATGAAGCTGCCACACCCCTATATTTTTATTTAGGGAAGAAATAAGTAAACGCGTATCTGAGACTGATCCTAAGGAAACCCTCGTGTAATATCCATTCATTTGTAGAAATTGGAGTAAAGGTTGTCGGTAAACTGAAAACAAAGGTTCTGTCTGTCTGTTTGTTTTCGACATAGAACTTTGCACATATGTGCGGAAGTTCAAGTCGCCACACTCCCTCCTTGTAGCACACAAAGCAACAGAAGAAATGCATAATAGAGACAGTAAACAGAGGTGTGAGACAAAGGAAGAGTAGTAACGAAGAACGATATAGTTTCATTGGAAATCATAAGTCACAGGGAGTGGATGCATCTGCGCCGGCCACTGGGAACGATCACTTTGAGCCATGTCATCAATTGTTTCCAACCATTGAATTTTACCGTCCCTAGGACCCCAACCAGGAAGCCAGTCTACACCTTTCTATGTGGCTGGCCTAAACGAACTGTTGTGGATTTCATTGACTGGTGATATGTTTCGATTTGACCGCCACTAGCTCTTTTCCAACCTGACCCTATATCAGCTAACGTTGCCCGTCAGTCGAGGAAGGCGATGACTAGGCCTGCGTAACACATGTCCTAACCATCTCAGTCGGTGTAATTTCACAGCCTCATCGTTTGATTTCCCCTCCTTACCTAGCAGTCGACCGAAGCCTAACCTCAATATTGCTCACCTTATTATACCAATTCACACGGGAGATGGAACGCAAGCACCTATGATCGAAGACAGCTAATCTTTTCATGTCTTCCACTCTCAATGACCAGGTCTCACAGCCATAAAGGAGGACGGAGCAGACTGATGAGCAGTACACCCGCCCTTTGGTCGATAGCCAGCCGGATATCACGTCTACGCCAGAGACGACGTGAAGTGGCTTATACAAAACTGGCCCTTTGTATCCGTACTGAGGTTTCGTCAGAGATCAACCCGTTGGCACTGGCTGATGGTACTTCCCAAATAGGTGAAGCGGTCAACGCGCTCGACCACTTCATTCCCTAATTATAAACTAGGAGTCAGTGTATTCCAGTCCTGTAACATCATCTTACATTTGGCGGGAGCGAATCGCATACCAAACATTCGTAGATTGCAGCTCAAGGTGTTCAGAAGACCGTGTCTGCATTTTGTCAGCGTCCTCGCCAAGAAGGACTATATCGTTAGTAAATGCTAGTGGATTTCTGCTACTCCAGCCAAACTGGTAGAGGCTCCGAATATGACAAGCAGTGGAAGTTACTCGAACGAATATTGATCAATAGTCTCTGCAACCACTGTGAATAGTGGCGGATGGCAAAAGATGATTTTATATACTTTACTGTGATTCTCTACACGATTGAAACAAACATTTACCGGTGTAATGATGACAAAAGATGCACATAACTAAAATTATATTTCATAGTTATCTCACAATCACATACACAAAAATAAAATAACAGAATAAGCATATTATTTTACGATCACCAAAGTAACAAACAGCAAATAAAATAAATTTAAATCAAAAGTAAATGTAAATCAAAAATCAAAATGTCAGATAAATTAACAGTTTCGTAATAGTAATAATCACTAATGATGACCGATATTATTCATTTCAAATGGAGTTTTATACACAAAAGTATGAAAGGCTATAAAGTTAGTCCAGTTAGGAACAATGGATTCTTTGTTACACGCACGCACACATACACACACGTAAGCACAAACAGCTTAGCAATATGCTTATGATTGTTTATTACTTTCATTATTATTATTGTTATCGTTAGCACTATCGTCATCTGGTGCATGTCCATACGTGGAATGGATTATAACATCCTGGAGTGAAATAACATTAAAAAAAGTGATTGGAAACTCAGTTAATAGTTAATAAATTATATATATATATATATGTATCATTTTTCATAACAAAGAAAGCATTTTCGTCGTGAATTGACACTACACAAGCAACAACAACAACAAATCATGTGAATCTAGACAGGATGAGTTTTAATTATTAGATCCCATCACGAACTAACATCAGTTAGAGAGATGATTGAAAAACAAGGAGCACTGGACAGCTGCTTCTCTCAATTTCGGGAATCTTTGACAGTGCACACCCACAACTTTATTGGGGATCGAACTCGGTACCCTGACAAGTTACGACACCAACCCTGAAGATCCCAGACTCGATCGCCGACGGAGTTGTAGTTAAGCACTGATGAAGAGTCCAAAGACAGGAAGAAACAGCTGTCCAGTACTCCCTAGTTTTCAATCATCTCTCTAACTGATGTTAGTTCGTAACGGAATCTAGTAAATGGAATTCGAAGCATGAGACCCTAATGAGCTCTAATTCCAATGTGGTTGTGTTTTCTAAGTTCGGTAATCTAAATGCGCACATTTCGTTTTCCTTCTACACAACATCTTCAGAGCAAACCTTAATACGGAGTAAACTTCATCGAATTCTCCTCGTGAGTCATATAATTGTTTCTCCTGACAACCTCTATCGTGATTGGCTGTTAATTTACATCTTTATTGACTTATTCTTTATTAGTTGATAAATTTGACTAATTGTATTGTATTTGTTAATCGCTTCTGATTCATCTGAATACTACGTTTCTAGGAATACTCTGACATATTTAATGTTTCCACTGTTTAGAATTTCTAAATTTTCCTAGCCAAACTGTTGTCCATTATATTGGTTTTTTTAAAATATCAATTATATCATTCAAGGAGAATTCAAATAACTTCACTTCATATTAAACCTTGCGCTGAAAATGCTGTCTAAGGTTAATGGAAGCTTCGCATTTAAATCATCCACCCCACTGATTGGACTACAAATCTTCTTTATCCTCTTAAAATGAACACTCAAGACAACTAGCTACGCTAGCTGTTTAAATTAGAATCACAGTATGAGCTGGTAGAACACAGAATCATCATTAAGTCTCTTGACAAGTGAATTAACATCGATAGTTAATAATAATAAGATTAGAAATGAATGATCTATGCATTAATTTCTTGACAATATAACACATATAATACACGTATATAACACAACGATTAGCTACACATATTTTATACAACAGACTGTAATGACAATAATTAAAAGTACACAAGACACCAACACACACACGCAAAAAGCAACACATAAACAGGCTAATGAGGTTGACTGAAAAAAGGACAGAAAGAATTTCTTTCATCTTCAAATAAAAATTAAGGGGGGAGGGGGGTACTAGATAATTATTTTATCATAATTAGTTGTTGTGTCATCATCTACTGACAAGTTTTACAAGACAAAATCTACCATTCACTTAATATGCACTAGTTGTAATTCAATAACAACTTATGGTTTAAAAATTCCAACTATTTCATAATAAACAGAACTATCAATATTTTGTGAAGGAAATTAAAATTAATAGTAATATATCTCCATAAAGAAGATAATTCATACAGAGTCACAAGTGACTAATCCACTGAGATTCATGGTACAAATTTCCGCGGAAGTGCACTAGTTCCAGTCGACACACTTAATGTAACATACAAATGAAGATGAAAGAGGAAAAATGGATTTAAAAAACAACTATAATATGCAGAAATGTGAGGGAGAAAGAATAGTAGCACAGAAAACCAATAGGGTTTAATGGGTATAGCAGACCATGATGAGTGAATGCATCTGAGCCATCACTGAGAAAGACTTAGACGCATGCCACCAATTGCTTCCAACCACTGGTTTTTACCATCCCGACAACCCTAACGACGAAGCCTACACTTCTATACATGGGTCAAATTAACTGTCAGAAATTTCATAGCCTAATTCCAAGTTTCCGTTCGACCACCCACTAGCTCTCTTCCAACCTGATTATATGTCACCTAACATAAACCATCGGGGAATGCGATGACTAGGTATACATAACACATATCCTAGTCATCTCAGCCAATGCAGTTTCACAACCTCGTCGACTGACTTCCCCTCTTTAACTAACACTCGACGCCTAACGTCAATATTACTTATACTATTATACTACCACCCGACACGGGGAACAAAACGCGGACACCTATGATCAAAGATATTTAGCCTTTTCACAGCTTCCACCTTCGATAGCAATTACTCACAGCCCTAAAGGAGGACACAGTAAACTGATGTGCAGTAAAAACACGTCCTGTGATCGATAGATAGACAAATGTCACATCTATATTAGAGACGGCGCGAGTTAGCGAATGCCACATGAGTCTTTTGTATTCCTGCTGAGATTCTGTCAGGGGGGAAGGGAAGACAGTAGCTTAGCATACGTAAATGATACCTCCTAATAACACGAAGCCGCTGAACAACTAATCAAGAAGACAGCACTGGTTAATTATTTAGATACAAAAGGAAAGAAAATGTCAATGCTAAAGAGTGTTTGTGATGAACATAATACAGCGAAGGGTATAGAACATAATGAATTTCAACCACTCCTACTGTTGTTTTGAACGTCTACAAATTGAAAATACACGGCTAAAATATCAGGGGACATTTAGAGTCGATTCATTACTTTTCATTTCTGTTGATAAAACATAATTTTCAATAGTTGATATGTAAAGATTAGATTTATTTTTACGAGTTGATCACGGATTGATATCAGTAAGAGAATCATTGAAAACCAGCAAGGAGTACTGGACAGCTGTTTCGTCCTAGTTTGGGGATCATCAGCAGTACGCACCCACCTAGTGAGATCTCTCCAGTCAAGTGTGAGAATGGATGTCCCACTGATTACATTGGCTGGTGATCACGCTAAATCAGCGATTGGTACAAGTTAGAATTCATGGGCTGGCTATTGAATCGGGTCTCAGTGGCTGAATGCTCTACGAGCTTACCTTGTAACTGGAAGGTCCTGGGTTCGAACCCCAATGAGTGCATACTGCCGATGATTCTCAAACTAGGATGAAACAGCTGTCCAATACTCCTTGTTGGTTTTCAATGGTTCTCTTACTGATATCAATCCGTGATCAACTCGAAAAATGGAATACAAAGTACTATATTCGATTTTTAGTCATATTCAATAATTTTTGCTTGACGTCACTTTTCGGAATAGGTCAAGACATCTGACGATGCTAAAGTAAGACACCTATAACCCATTCATAGGCTGACAATCTCCCTTCCATCACAACCATTTCCAGTGAAAGCTGCTGTTTTCAAGTGTTAAGGCGATTCTAAAGGTAATTTATTCAACCTATGTTTGTTTAAATATGATAAATTTTAAAGGTATGAAATGGAATGTTATACACTACGTTTAATAATCGTTATACGTAGAACAGCTTGTGAAACAAAATGCTTACGTATATAATAATTTAAAAATAACCCCGCTTTCTGTTTAAAACTACTACTCTGCTTTTAAGATGTCAAAAGTACGCAAGTAATATATATTAACGCTTCTTATCATCCATTATGATGTATCTTCAAATTATATAATAGACATGTCAATTCGGAACTATGCATACTTCAGTGCATCATCACTTTCTGATGTCACAATTTTAGCTAGCGGCGGTCAAACAAAAACTTGGCACCAATCAATGAAATCCACAACAGTTGGTCTAAGCCACGTAGGAAGGTGTAGACTTCCAGGCTGGGGTCCTCGGGACGGTAAAAATCTATGGTTGGAAACAATTGGTGACATGGCTCAAAATCGTTCTCAGTGGCGCAGATGCATCCACTCCCTGTGACTTATGATCTCCAATGAAACTGTTTTGTTCTTCATTATTACTCCTCCTTTGTCTCACACCTCTGTTTACTGTCTCTATTATGCTTTTCTTGTACTTTCTTCTCTTGCTTCGCGTGCTACACGGAGTGTGGCGACTTGAACTTCCGCACATTTGTGCAAAGTTCTATGTCGAAAACAGACAGTCACAATTTTAGAGATGTCATACAATAAGAAAGTTTAGCGAAACAAATCAATAGAATAATTAATAAATATATGTAGGTCAGGAGGTATTGTGAATAAATAAAGAAAAATAAAAATATTTAGAATTTCAACAGCAAAAAAGAGTGAGTACGTATATGAGTCACTTGACTCGACCTTAAATTATGTCACCAAAAGTAAAGAAGTACTGTTTATTTTTACAACAAACAATCTTTACTTTCCAAGTGCTAGTTTGTATGCAGTTGATTAACTTCTCGTTTGATCACGGATTGATATCAGTTAGAGAACTATTAAAAACGGGCAGGGAATACAAGACAACAGTTTCGCTTTAGCTTCGGACTCTTCTTCAGTACGCACCCACCAAACCCACAACTTTCAAGTTACAAGGTCAGCTCATTGAGCATTCAACCACTGCGACTCAATCCAACAATCCATGAACTTAAAACAATTAGTTCCCTTTATGAATTTAGATAAAGCAAAAAGACGTAATTTTCTGAATCGTGTAATGTATTTGCGCAACACACAAAAATGACGTCAAATCCCACTATATTTACCAATTTGAATGTACGTGTGGACACACATACATAGGGTGGACTCATCGATCCCTGCAAGTAAGGGCTGGCTTCCGAGCATATTCCTAAATGGCTCCAGAAACAAATGGAATCTTCAGAACCTATTAACGGTGAAAACAGGATACCTAGCTATTTTATTGCGAAACATATTATAGAGACAGGACATAAAATTGACGTTAACAGATCTTTTAAACCTATCTATAGAACGTGTTTGGGGAGTACCCTGAAGTTTGTGGAAGCCCTAGCAATTAGAACGTTTAAACCACTTGTTCAAATGCAGTTCGTCATCACATTAAATGTTCTCTGGTAAACTTTGTTTCGATACCATAGCAGATGTATTATTACCTCTCTTATTTGGTTTAGTGATCTT